ACCTCAACCCTGGGCTTGCCCCGCGGCCTTAGACCTCATCCTCAGCGAACTTGGGCCTGCAGGGCTGTCTGGGCCTCCAAAGGGCCTAACGCCTTCCCGAGTGCCCCAGGGCCTCGCCTAAAGGCCCAGTCCCCGGGCTCCGCCAGCTCAGCGCGCGCTCTCGCTCCCCCGGGACGCAGCCACCGACCTGGGCCCGGATAGCAGCGAGCAGAACCCCGGGCATTCCCTGTGCCTTGGTAAGAAACACTTGGGCTATCTCAAAGTTGCCATAAGAAAATAAATACAAGTGACATTGTGCTGGGCCAAAGCTCATTAGTTCGTTGTCCAGGCCTAATAAAGGAACAGAAGCGCAAATTATAGAGTTCAGCTTCAACACACGCTCTGTCACCCGAGATCAGCGTACCGCGAGCCTGATTCCAATTGCTCCGAACTTGCTGCGCAGTTCGCCCCCACCCGCCTCCTTGCGAGCAGGAGGTTGGGTGGAAAAATATAGTTCCAAAGGGGGTAATGATCAAGCTTTTCCTCTCGGAAGCCTGCGCCACGTCATTTCCCATCAGTAATCCCAATAAAATTAACGTCGAGGCTGCAATTGAAAAGAGGAGGGCCTGTGATACTCCTGAAATAACACACTCTCCCCTAGCAAAAGGTAAAAAGCAAAACGGCCCTTTGTTCAGCTAATTAACGAAGGCCCAACTCCGAAAGCAGATGTGTTTGCTTAGCTAATCACAAGCATGTTTCTTTCAAGGAACGTCATTTCGAGGGGGTCGCTTGGGTGGGATGAGAAAAGGGGACACCGACTCCCCCACCCCCTCTGTCGCGAGGGTCCCTCACTCCAGCCACAGATCCAGACGTTGATCCAGGCAGCCCACCTCTCACACCTTTCCCCCCTCGGCCGTACCCCAGAGACCCAATAGGCACCTCAGCACTCGCCTGAACGCGAGGACTGCAAGTCGCGATGAAAATAAATAAATAAATAAAAGTTTTAATGACACAGATGCCATTATTAAACGAGGCAGTTTTACAATTCACTTTGAATAGGACGCTAACTTATTACGACTGTGTTATCAGAAAGACGATAAGATTTATAACTCCAAGAGTCAGCTTTGCGCCTTAATGACAAGGGATGTTAAGGGGAGGAAATCTGTTTTCTATTAGAGGAGATGAGAGTCCCTTCCCCATTTTCGGGCATTTACAGATGCGTCCAGGCCGGCGGATACCAAGTCCCTTTGTGTCTCCTTATGAATAAAGCTTCTCCCTTTCCCCTTTGGCTATGCAACCGGGTCCCCTTGCAAGGTTAGCACCTCGCTAAAAGCTTGGGCTTGGGAAAGACAGAAGAAAGGGATAGAGAAGGGCTAAGAGATAGAAGTGGGGATGGAGATGGAGGTGGGTGGGGGTTGCGCTTCTCAGTCCTTCAGTTCATGCAAAACTATTTCCCTGTCTTTCTTTGCCATACAAAAGATGGCTTTCCCCTAAACCAACACTGTAAGCAAACTTTAAAAAACTGGGGTCCTATTACAAACCAACGCCCAGCACTAACTGCTTTAAAATTACTGCATAATTAGATTTAGTTGAATTTCACCATTAATTAGGCAGCCGCACTGCAGGGAGCCTTTGAAATCTGAGAAAATGGGAAAAATCATCTGAAGCACGTTTTAAAAACCCAACTTCAATAAATCTTGACGAGGCCTGGAATTCACAGAGTACCTCGCTCTCTTCCAGGGAGGCTGAGGGACAGGGTTCTCCAGGCCGGAGCTGGGGCTGGAATTGGACGCAGGGAGCGATGCCCTGGTAGGCCGAGAGCCGGCCCCTGGCCTGATCCCTGTCCCTGCAGAGGCCCTTGGAGAACCCGCTCTGGGAGGCCAGTCTGTCCCCAGCCACCCCTGCCCTCTCAAATTCATTAGAGAAAGGGGGATCCTTTGCTGCAGGCGCGCTCTTGCCAGGGGGGCTGTCCACGCGGGCTCACACATTCTGGGGCTTGCGACCACCCGTCCGGATCCTCCCTCGGCCCCCATGCCTACAACTTTAACAAGCAAGCAGCAAGTTCTGCCCACGACCGGCGGGGGTCGCAGCCGGGCGCCCACCCCAACTCCGCCCGCGCCACCCCCGCGCAGCCCTTGCCTAAATGGGCGCGACAACTGACTGAGGTCTGTCTATCCTCGCTTCTCCCCCTCCCCCCAGACTATTCAAACATTAGTAAGATCGTTCATGGTTAGAAGTTTTTTATTTTTAAATCTGGTTCTTGCTAGAAGAGACTTGAATTCAAGTCTCCTGGATATTGGGGGGGGGGGCGATGGGGAGAAGGGGGATACTGCGCTACCAACATTCCCCCCACGAACTCTACAGATTTCATAACAGCATAATCGAGGACGGCACTCACTTGCCAGCCAAGAGTTTAAAAGACGGTTTTCTGCCTGCAGACAGAATGGCCTTTAGCACCCCCCTCCGCTTTTTTTTTTTCTTTTTGGGAGCCAATGTGTTTCCGATTACCCGGCCGGGCCGGGCCTGGCAGCCGGCGCTCGCCGTGCACTGGGAGACGCCATGTTGGCTGCGCTCAGAGGACCAAGTCAAAAGCGAGCTGCGAGGCCGAGTTTCACACGCTCGGGCTCCCCCCGGAGCGCCCCCTGCCCCGCCCGTCGCCGCTTCGTGCCTGTCCCGGGAGTGCTGCCCCGCGCACCAGCACCCTGGACTCTCCGGGGGCGCGGGCGGGATTCCGCC